CAAATACCAGTGGAGTCACCCTTGGTAGACTGGTTGCAGCCGAGCTTCCGGACTAAGACAGACTGAGAAGGAGGGTGTGGTGGTCAACTGCTAAAAACCTAAAAAGCCAATGAAAATCTTAGGAATAGCAGCAGAACACTGTCTCATATAACGAAGATGAGGCCCTCAGGTTGGAAGAAGGCACTCAAAACACAACTCAAAGTGAAGTCAACCTCCATAAAAAAAAAAAAAAAAAAAAGTAAATTTTATCCATAAATGGAGTAAAGCTTTCAGGACTTCCTTTTGCTGATAAGGCCTAACTCAAAATGAGACCAAACAGCTGTAAATACCCATTAATGATTAGAACAAAGAATATATGAAGTATAAATCTAGAAAAATTGGAATTTATCAAAACTGAAATGGAATTCATAAAGATTTCTATCCTAGGCATTAATTAGCTGAAATGGACTGGTATTAGCCATTTTGACTGGGACAATCATATGGTCTACTTCGCCAGGAATGACAAATCGAAGAGGGATGGTATCACTTTCATCATAAGAAAGAACATTTCAAAATCTGTCCTAAAGTACAACACTGTCAGTGATAGGACTTTTCATATGCCTACAAGGAAGACTAGTTAATATGACTATTATTCAAATTTACAAACCAAACACTAAGCCAAAGATGAAGAAATTGAAGACTTTTAACAATTTCTGCAGTCTGAAATTGATCAAATATGCAATCAAGATGCATTGATAATTACTGATGATTGGAATGCAGAAGTTGGAAACAAAGAAGCTTCTGCAGTTGGAAAATATGGCTTTGGTGATAGAAACAACACCAAAGACTGCATGATATGATTTTGTAAGACCAACAACTTATTCATTGAAAATACTTTTTTTCAACAACATAAATGGTGAGTTTGCACGTGGACCTCAACAAACGGAACACATAGGAATCAAGTCGACTACATCTGTGGAAAGAGACTATGGAGAAGCTCAATATCATCAGTTAGAACAAGACCAACTGAGGAAAAGACTATCAATTGCTCATATGCAAGTTGAAGTTGAAGCTGAAGAAAATTAAAACAAGTCCACAAGCGCCAAAGTACAACCTTGAGTATATCCCACCTGAATTTGGAGACCATCTCAAGAAGATTTAACAGTGAACAGTGATGACCAAAGATCAGGTAAATCATGGGATGACATCAAGGACATCATATATGAAGAAAGCAAAAAGTCACTTAAAAAGATGGGAAAGAAAAGACAAAAATTGATCTCAGAAGAGATTCTGAAACTTGCTCTTTAACGGAGAGCAGCAAAAGCAAATGGAAGAAATGATGACGTAAAAGAGCTGAATAGAAGATTTCAAAGGGCAGCTTGAGAAGATAAAGTAAAGTATTATGAAATGTGAAAAGATCTGGAGTTAGAAAACCAAAAGGGAGGGACACACTCAGCATTTCTTGAGCTGAAAGCCCTGAAGAAAAAAATCAAGCCTTGAGTTGCAATATTGAAAGATTCTCTGGGCAAAATAAGGAGCTCTGGTGGTGCAGTGGTTAAAGCACTTAGTTACTAACCAAAAGGCCAGCAGTCCAAACCCACTGCCACTCTGCAGGAGAAAGATGAGGCTTCTATAAAGATTTACAGCCTTAGAAACTAATGGGGCAGTTCTACTCTGTCCTATAGGATTGCTGTGAATGAGAATTAACTTTATGGTGGTGGATTTATGGGCAAAATGTTAAATGATCCAGGAAGCATCAAAAGAAGATGGAAGGAATACACAGAGTCACTGTACCAAAAAGAATTGGTCAATGTTCAACCATTTCAGAAGATAGCATATGATTAAGAACCAATGGGACTAAAGCAAGAAGTCCAAGCTGCCCTGAAGGAATTGGTGTAAAATAAGGCTCTAGGATTGATAGGATATCCATTGAGATGTTACAACAAATGAATGCAATGATGTAAGTGCTCACAAATCTATGCCAAGAAATCTGGAAGACAGCTACTGGCCGATTGACTGGAAAAGATTCAAATCTGTGCCCATTGCAAAGAAAGGTGATAGAACAGAATGCAGGAATTATTGAGCAATATCATTACTATCACACACAAGTACAATTTTGCAGAAAATAATTCAAAAATGGGTGCAGCAATACATCGACAGAGAGCTGTCAGAAACTCAATCTGTATTTAGGAGAGGATGTGGAATGAGGGACATCATTGCTGATGTCAGATGACTATTGGCTGAAAGCCAAGGATTCCAGAAAGATGTTTACCTGTATTTCATTGACAATAAAAAGGCATTTGACTGTGCAGATCATAATAAATTATGGATAACATTGTGAAGAATGGGAATTCTAGAACATTTAATTGTGCTCATGAGAAAACTATATGTAGACCGAGAGCCTGTCGCTCAAAGAGAACAAAGGAATACTTCATGATTTGAAATCTGGAAGGGTATGCAGCAGGATTGTATCTTTTCACCGTACTTATTCTGGTGGCATAGTGCCTAAGGCATTTGACTGCTAATCGAAGACTGGTGGTTCAAACCCACCAGCCACTCGTCGGAAGGCAGGTTGGCCAATCTACTTCCATAGACATAGCACCTCGGAAACCCAAGGAGGGGTCACTATGAGTTGGATCCAACTCAACAGCAATGTTTGGTTGGTTGGAATCTGTATGCTGAGCATATAATCCAAGAAGCTGGCCTATATGAAGAAGAGCACAGCACCAGGCCTGAAGGAAGGCTCACTGCCAACCTGAGATATGCACATGACACAACCTTGCTTGCTGACATCCAAGAGGACTTGACACATTTATTGATGAAGATCAAAGACTACAGACTTTATTATGGATTACACCTCAATATAAAGAGAAAAAAAAAAAAAAAATCCTCACAACTGGGCCAATAAGCAAAACCATGATAAATGGAGAAAAGATTGAAGTTGTCAAAGATTTCATTTTAATGAATGCACAATCAACACCCATGGAAGCAGCAGTCAAAAAATCAAACAACTTACTGTATTGCCCTGGGCAAATCTGCTGCAAAAGACCTCTGTAAAGTGTTAAAATGCAAATATGTCACTTTGAGGACTAAAGTAACCCCGAACCAAGCCACGGTCTGTTTAGTTGACTCATATGCATACCGGACAATGAATAAGGAAGAACAGAGAAAATATGATGCGTTTGAATTATACTGTTGGTGAAGAATATTGAATATATCACAGACTGCCAGAAGAATGAACAAATCTTTCTTGGAAGAAGTACAGCCAGAATGCTTCTTGGAAGCAAGGGTGGCAAGCCGTTGCCTCACATACTTTGAACATGTTATCTGGAGCCACCAGTCCCTGGAGAAGGACAGCATGCTTGGTAAAGTAGAGGGTCAATGGAAATAGAAGCCCCTCAACAAGATAGACCTACACGGTGGCTGCAATCATGGGCTCAAACATAGCAATGATTGTGAAGATGGTGCCGGCCCTGGCGGGTGTTCTGTTCTGTTGTGACCCTGAGTTTTATGGAAGCATATGTATGGCTAGGCTGTCCTTCTGCAAAGCTCTAGCTAGGGGTGGGGGGGTGGTCCAGCTGCCAGCCTTTGGTGAGTAGTAGACCGATGCCCCCAAACAGCACAGACCAGCTCCCACAGAGCTTTTATTCTGTAGGGAGCAGTGGATGGTTGCTGAAAAAAGAGAAGAAGAAAAAAAAAAAAAAGGCAGTGATTTCAGAGTATAGTAAGTGTTGTGAAGAACTAGGTTGTGTGGGTGACTTCACTGTTCAGCGTCTCTGAGGCCCTGGGTCCCTTCATCTGGAAGGCAGAGCAGTCGCTTGCACACAGCCCGCCTGTGGCCTTAGGAGGATTAGGTTAATGAAGTTAGGCATGTGAGGGCCTGAAACACTCACTGCAGTTTCTTTAGTTCCCATCGGTGGGGGGTTGGGGTGCTGATGGAGGGAGGACATTCCAGGGCCATTCTCCTCTCCTTCACCGAAAGGAAAACTCCTGCCCTTCCCGGGAGAGGCCTCTAGCAAGCCCAGAGGAGTAGGTCCTCAGAACCAAAGCCCAGCCGGGCCAAGAGCGGGGTTTCGACGCTGAGAGGAGTTAGGAGAACGCTTGTCTGCTCCTTGGCGGCCTGGACGCGATTTTGGAGCTCGGGTGGGAGAGGGGGGCCTGTCCCGGTCCTGCGTCCCACCCCGCGGGGACAGACGCCACTCGGGCCTCCTCCTTCCCTTCCCTTCGCCTCCGGGGAAAGCAGGCAGACTGCGGACTCGCTAATGACAACTCGGGTGGGACGTGGGATGGGGGCGTGGGAGCGGGTCTGGGTCGCACGGTGCCCAGTCCCGCTCGCCGACGCCCCCGAAGGCTGAGCTCACTGCGCGGAGCTCGATGCTGACAGCTCAGGGACCAGAGGCGGGCTGTCCTTTCTCCCCCACCCCCGCCCCCAGTCACCCAGACGCAGCTCCGGCCTCCTCTTCCCTCCGCTCCAGCCCTTGCTCGAGCCCCAGGCCTGGCCGTAGGGCCGCGGCAGCTGCGCTCTGGGGCTGGGAGGGCGCGCGGAGGTGCCAAGGGCGCGGGGCGGTGGGAGACGGCCTGGCAGCGCGGCTTCAAGTTTCCACAGCGCGCGGTTGTGCAACAGCGAGGCGAGAGAGCCGCGGGCAGCTTGGAAAACAAGCCCATAAACAAAGCCACGTGGCCCCGGGCCGGGGGGCCGGGCCAAGTGCAGGCGGCTCTTCCGGCAACAAAGAGCCCGGCCGGGGGCGCCGCATAAATAGTGTGGCGGCGGCTGGGACGCAGCACTCAGCGAGCCGGCAGCCTTGAGCCCCTGCACCGCGCCGTCGCCCTCCGCGAGCGCCGGACACCCGGCTTCGCCCCCGCAAACCGCAGCCCCCGCACCGGTTCCCGGCACGCACCCCCTCGCCGGTCCCCAGCACTCGGAGCTCCCGCCCAGCGCAGCGCGTCTCCGAGGCCGCCCGGCCGATCTCGTCCCTCAGTCGGTCCGGTCCGTGCGTCCGACGCGTCCGCTCACGGGTGCCATGCCATTCCTCGGCCAGGACTGGCGGTCCCCCGGGCAGAGCTGGGTGAAGACGGCCGACGGCTGGAAGCGCTTCCTGGACGAAAAGAGTGGCAGCTTCGTGAATGACCTTAGCAGGTGAGGGGACCCGCCACCAACGTCCAGCCCGGCGAAACCGACCCTGAGGGTCTGGGGGCTCGGAACAGCTAAGCAAAGCCGCCAGGAGGGCTGGGACCGGGTGGGCAGGGGGCGCTGACTAGAGGTTGGGGGCGAATTGCCTGGACTGTGGCCGAGGTCGCCGGAGCACAGGAGACTGGGCGCTTGGATACTTGTATTGTTCAAGGTCAGCGTCCGCAAACGGCCAAGACTCCTTACAGAGCCCCGGACGGCTCTGAGAATGTAGTAACAACCGCGATTCTTCTTCCTAAACGCTCAAACGTAAACCCACAACCTTAGGGAGTTCTGAACCCAGATTAGGTCCCCTGCCAGGTTAAGTCCCCAGAGTAAGGGGCACTGGCATCATCGCGCAGTTCGCGTGTGTGGGGCGCGGGCGCGTGGGGGGCGCGCCTTTCACCGCAGGAAAGGCTGGCTCCCCGAGGCGCGCAATCTGGAGATGCGAGGGGACGCGCATTCTGCCTGGAGCGCGGCCAGGCTCTTCCCACGCACAAGCTACCGCAGGGTGGGCAGGATGATGAGTAACCGGGAAACGGCGGCGAGGGCACTGGCCAGCTGGTCTCGGGGGCAGCGGCAGAAAGATGGCAACCCCACCAGGGACGGATGCAGAGATGCGGCGGAGGGAAAGCCCCTTGGGAGGGCTCCACGGAGCCCGCCAGCCCTAGGCTTCCCTGGGGACAGAGCGTTTGCACCTGTTTCCTCGGTGGCCCGTAAGGTGTGTCTTCCTTCTGTATTTGAGAGTGCATGCTCATTTCAGGTAGTGCCTGTGAGCAGCAGACAGTCCACGGACCTGGCTCCGGTGAGCCTCCGGACTCAGGTCTCACCTGAGCTGTCAGTCCTCTGAGCCTGGCGCTTGGCCTGGGAAGGTCAATAACACAAGTGCCTCCTAATAATATTATTTAGTTTGGAATCTGTTATCCCCAGACCTTGCTAAGGCTGTCTGGCAGATTCCTGACATTTGGCCCATATAAAGAGGTGGTGTAGAGTAGGTCCAACTAGGACAGGTGCACCCCTTGAGGTCACCCTTGGGTGCGTCTCACCCCCACCCCATTTGGCTAGCTTCAGTGGAGGGTTCTATAAGTGGGCCAGGTTCCCAGTTATTGAGATTTAGCAACAGTTGTTTGGATGACCCCTTGGCTCTAAATTTTAAGAAAATGTGGTTATTTTGATAGCTTGACCTTCAGGGCCTCCCCTGTTTGTGATTTGTAACGCATCAGACCCCTTTGTCTCCCTGTAAAAAGCAGCAAATGATTTAACCTTGTCAGCAGAGACATGAGCTTATTGACCTTTCTGTTAGTGATACTTTGAGGGAGGCCCATGGAGTTTGGGGAGCACTGTAAGGAAATCTATTTCTGGAAAATCAGATTATTTATTTACAGTAAGAAAAAGAAAAAGAAAAAAAAGACCAATTGGTGTCACCAGACCACAGTATCTCCCATAAGGACTCAGGTTACCAATTAAGCCTAAATTACTCCCCCTCAAATAAACGGGAAGGGGGCACCTCTTTGCGGATTAGCTGGTGACCTGGGATTTGGGTACCTTTGTTGTTGTTGTTGGTTGCCATTGAGTTGATCCCCATTCGTGGTGACCCTGTGTGTACAGAATAGAACTGCTCCCCGGCGTTTTCAAGGCTGTGACCTTTCAGAAGCAGGTCACCGGGCCTGTCTTCCTAGGCAGCCCTGGGTGGGATCGAACCCCCAACCTTCCAACTAGTAATCAAGCACTTGACCATCTGTGCCCAGGGACTCTTTGACACTTATTTCTGTATAAAACTTGAGATTCATTTAGCAAGGTGGAGCAATAGCCTGCCACTGTGAGCTGCAACCCAGTGGCTCACCTAAATGTAATTGTTGGGTGCTCCTCAGAGCAGAGCGGACTGTTGGGTTCAGCGGGAAAGGATTTAAAAGGCAGAGCTCTGGTTGGTGTGAATGCTGTACTCACAGAGTCCTGGCCCCAGGAGATAAGCTGCTATCACTCTCCTTTAGAAATAAACAGCCAGTGCCTCCCCCCCCCACCACCACCAGGGGAGACCTGAAGATCGGTTTCACTTATCTTCAAAGTTTCGACTAGGCCAGGATCAAGTAGCTTCACACCCCTTTGTTCCCAACACAAACCTATTTTTCACCCTCCCATTTCATGCCCTGAGAGCTAGAGCTGTTACCTGCACTGTATGGCAAATGGTGACAGATAGTCACACCTGGGGTCATTTGATGAGTCAGTATAGGAGTCATTGGTAGCCTCTTAGCAAAGCTGCTGGCCGTTTGCATAGTATTGGTTTTGGTTTTGTTTTGTTTCCAGCATTTGTAAACAATCCCTTCCCTACTTAGCATGAGAAGTCTGCCAACTTCTTTCAAACACTTGGCCTTCTGAGGCCTGGGTTTGTAATCTCAAATATCCCCACTGTTTTCGGGTGAGGTGACGTTTCCTTGTGATGTCAGGTTTGGGCTGAGTGCCTGGCTACACAGGTGATACTTAAATACCTCTCCTGTTGTGAGAAAACAAAAGGCAGGCCCTGAAAAAGCGAGGGAGGGGGGCTGTTACGTAAAAAGAGGCCTGCCAGGCATGGTCTGCTTCTCTCCTTCCCTGGCCAGTTTTGTAAGCTGGCCAAACCCGAGGCAGGGATGAAGGGTGCATTCGGTGCCTTGGGTCTGAGCTGTTGTTTAGCGTTGCCCACAGCTTGTCTGCACAGCATGTCTTTTCTGAACTCTGTGTTCATTCTCTGGATGGGCCAGAGCCCTGTCCTCCTTCAACGGCAGAATGTTACAAACCCCATTACAGCTAAGTGCCCAGAACTGAGATAGTGTGAGGATTTAAGATAAGCCTAAAGCAGGGCTTCTTCTCTCAAAAAGTTAAACCTACATAAAAAAGAAGGGGATTTTTTTTTTTTTTTTACTAGTTGCTTGTTAAGTCGATCCCAATTCATGGCGACCCCAACTCATGGTGACCCCATGCAGAGAGCACAGACTCGAGCTGTGCTCCCTAGGGTTTACAGCGGCTGATTTTTCAGTAAATCACCAGGCTGTCTTCAAGGAATCCCGAGGTGGACTCAAACGTCCAACCTTTTGGTTAGCAGCCAAGCACACTAACTGTTTGCACCACCCAGGGACCCCAAAAGGAGAATAATAAGTGCTAAATTTGGTGGGGCAGATTCCAAAGTCAGAGAAATTGCATGAGGGAGAGGGTCCGAGAATACTTCAAGGAAGTGATAGGTGAGCCCCCTCCCCAGCCCTCCTCACACACCCTCAACCCTATGCCTACCCCACCCTCAGGAAGAGTAATGTAAGATATCTGAGCCTCAGCCATTCTTCCCCCAGCCTACACTTCTGCCGTTGAAAATTCGATGTTGATTTACTGTAGAGCTAAGGCTGACCCAGGAAGTAAGAAGTTTTCCTTGGTGCCCTGGATGAGTAGTGCATATTCAATAGAAATAATAGTTGAGGTTTTATTGAGTGCTTACTGTATGCAAGGCACTGTTCTGAGAGCTTTATACACTGGGTTGTTTGTGTCACCAGCACAATCCAAGGTTTAGCCATGTGAGTTTGGCAATCTGGGTAAGTATTGGAGCAAATGAACACAGAAATCTCACTGCCCTTAATTGAGGCTGTATAAGTAGCTCTGGTGGTACAACAGTTAAGCACTTGGCTGCGAACCAAAAAGTTGGTGGTTCAAACCCATCCAATAGCTCCATAGGAGACAGCCCTGGAGATCTGCTTCCATAAAGATTACAGCCTGGAACACCCTGTGGGGCAGTTCTACTCTGTCACATGGGGTCACTGAGTAGAAACCGACTTGTTGGCACCTATCAACGACAAAAGCAAGTGAGCCCATTGGGGCAGACCACGGTCTTCTCAAATGGCTCATTGCTATGGCAAATGAAATAATAAATAGGAGGTTTTACCCTTCCTTCCCTTTATCTCTGCTGCCAAGGCAGTCTTATTTTTAAATCTTTCCACCTTTTTTTTTTTCTAAGTAGCTTGGTATGTGTGATGGTAGGATAGGGTGAAGGAGGTCTTTTTCATATTCCACGCCTGTGCCTATAAAGACCAGGATTAGTAAGAAATGCTACAGCATAGCAACTTGCTGGCTATTATGAATATACTGAAGAAAGCAGCCTCTTTAAGATGGTTATGCTTCTTATTTTTTAAAAAAATGAAATGCTGTGGTTTCTAAATGGCAGTGGCTTTTCTTGTTAAAATTTCAGTTATAATTTTCCATGGGCTTTGCATTTTCTTGACATGGGCACCATGGAACTTTCAAAAGAGCCTCTAACTGAGTCTACTTGTGCTTGAAAGAAAATGTATAAGCAGGCAACACAAATAAACCCATGGCCCTTCCTTCCAGGCCCCTCCTGTGGAGTCTAAGACCTAACACCAAGCTCAAAGCGCAGGGCTGCTCTTGGGTGAAAAGCTTTCTATCCTACAGTGGGAGAGCATCCTCAGTTACATAAAGTTATTTTGCAATGAGTCACTTGGGCTTCAGGCAGGTTATTGTCAGGAAAGCAAGTGTTCACATTCCTTGGAGGAATGTTTTCAATTAGAAAAGAATACGATGAAATATAAATATTTCAGACGTCTAAGGGATGGTCACCATGTATGGTGCAGACTTCAAAACTCTTCTGCTGAACTTTAAGAGTGTGCTTCAGAGTGAGACAGCTCCGTTTCATGATTCTCTGTCTGTGGAAACAATAATGAAGGTCTTTGTTGTAAGTGGTGTGTGTGTGTGTTGTTGTTGCTTCTTTTGAAATAAGCCTCGGGTGGTAGTTTTGCATACAGACTGCTCTAGTGTTGCTTTCTAAAGCTGTTCTCGGCTTTGGTACATCATGGCCCAGTCAAGGGACCTTCCCTCTCTTTCTCTTTTCCTCAATTTTGATTGAAATTTCTGAAGTCAGCCTCTAGGATTAAGAGTTCTCTTCTCTCTTTGTCCTGCCCTTATTTTCCTGCTGACCTTGGAGCAGACATGGACTGGTCAGTAGTTCTGTACCATAGCATCATACAAGTAGACAAGCATACATTCACGTGTTACACAAAGCCTGGCCTCAGACACCCCAGACTTGTTTAAGAAAGTGCTGCGAAGAGAAGGACATGTCCGCTGTAATCCATGTGAAACCTAAAAATATCCTGTTCCACTGAATGAAAAAGAGAAGGCTAGAGATACTTGTTCTTGTTTGTTGTTATGTGCCGTCGAGTCGGCCCCAACTCATAGCGACCCCTCCTTGGGTTTCTGAGGCAGCATCACTACAGAAGTAGGACTAGGAAACACAATAAATGGTTATCAGGCAGGGCCTTACAAAAGAAGATTAACAATTAACTAACGATCGATTATCCATCAAGCTGATCTCGATGGGTACAGAAAAGCAACCCTGCGGGCACTAATAGGTGGTATCATGTGCAAGCATTTTAGCAAGATGCTTATTGGACTAACTGGCATGCTGCTTGGGAGATTACTGAAAACTGTGCTTGGGAGATTACTGAAAACTGTTTTCAAACTCTCAAAAGAGAGTTCGAGAAAACTCTTGTACCGTTTACACAATGCCAATGGAAGGGAGATATGCTGGTGTAGCTCGTTTTTCCCAACAGATGCATGGCCAAAAAGGATACTCATAAATTACATTGAAATTCAGCAGAGGGGCTCAGAGCATTATAGGACTCTACTATGCCGGTGTATAACAACATCACCACCAACAACAACCCTAATATATGCTTTACTAATTGGCATTCCAAATCCTTACTTGAACATAGATACCCCATGGGGCTGGGGAAGGGGGAACCTGTCTTCTCTTTATACCTCAGTATTTTTTCTGCATCCTTTCTCTGCAAGCTATGCAGATGTCCACCTTGAAGTTACGTAGTCCAGTAGAATAACGCCCAGTCGCCCCCCTCCCAAATGAGAGCTGAGCCTACTAAGGGAAACTTGCACGTGACACAGGTTGAACTTTCCCATCCTTCAATGACTGGGAACTGCATGAGTGCATTTGCTGTCTTATAAATTTATGAAGTATGAATTTAGCTTGCTTCTGTAGGATCCAGGTTCTTCACCTCCCAGCATGATACCTAGTGTTAGTCAAGGACCTGCATGACTCTGGAACAACTAGCAGCACTACCCACTAACCAGCTCCTGGCAACTAGCACTACCCACTAACCAGCTCCTAGCAATGGAGTTCACAAGTCAGACTTCTGAAAACATGATCATGGTCTAAAGACATGGGAACATGTTAGTTAAGAGCAGCTCGGGTCCACTTGCCCCTCCCCCATCATCATTTTTCTTAAAGTGACATTGTAGTAGCTGCCTTGCCCCTGGTTAAAGAGAGCAGTGCTGTATGGGGAATACAATGGCAGGCTCTGTGGAGGAATTCAAAAGAAGTTAAAGCCCCATCCCTGCCTTCCACACAGATGTGGTCATACTTCACCCTAAAACAGAAAAGTCTGCATGTGTCGACTCCTTCTGAGGGATTATTTTATTGTTTTATTTTGTTTGAGGAGTGTGTGTGTGTGTGCTTTTTACGCCAGTGAGTTATTTATAGAAATCCTCCCTGCCCTCAGTGGATTTCAACCTATAGTGACCCCACAGGACAGAGTAGAACTGCCGCCTAGGGTTTCCAAGGCTGTAAGCTCTACAGAAGCAGACTGCCCTATCTTTCTCCCACGGAGAGGCTGGCGGGTTCGAACCACTAACCTTTCAGTAAGCAGCCAAGTGCTTAACACTGCATCACCAGGGCTCCTTGTTTATGGAAACAGTTCATATTAAAGTATAGTTCTGCTCATCATCTCTTCCGTCATTCCTAGTTACTGCAGCAAGGAGGTGTACAACAAGGAGAATCTCTTCAACAGCCTCAACTATGATGTTGCAGCCAAGAAGAGGAAGAAGGACATGCTGAACAGCAAAACCAAAACTCAGTGTAAGCCCTTTGTTTTCAACTTAAGGAAGCTGTTTGCAGATAGTCAGGATTGGTTCTGGGGGAAAAGAACCATGCCTGCCTTTATTTTAGGGTCACTGACAGAGGGGACCGGGGTCTTCGGCTCAGAAACCTGCCTGTGTATTTTCCAAGGGAGGTTTATGTGTTTTTTACAGTCTTTCTTATGTCATTTGCTGGTCTTTCTGTTCTCTTTTTCTGCTTGTCTCTTGTATTTGCCGTAGGCAGTGATATAGTTCCTTTTCCAGGGACATTGTTAGCTGGATCTTCCCACTTCAGTGTGCTTTTCGTTTGAACTGTGCTTTGAGGCTCTGACAGAATGTTTTCTTTCTCCTCTTCCCTTGTATAAAGAGGATGACCATTTCTAGATGCTGTATTTAAGTATTAACAAAGTATGAAGTTCTCTTAATAAGCATGAATTACAGATCTTTGGTTAATCTATCCACACTGCAGCCTCTCTTCATGTTATCATCTATTTTCTTTCTACTTTTTTATGGCCTTGGATACATGTTAGGTTTGGCATTTGAAACAAACTCTTTAACTTAGGTTTTAGATTCTTTAGGTATTTAGATTTTTTAATTCCAAACTCCAGTACAAATAAATTCAGAGCTCTGGCTATCAAAGATTTGGCATGCTCCAGACAGAGTAAATACAGCTTCAGTTGTATCACACTGCACCAGTTACGTATTTGCATCCTCTTCAATTATCGGTAGAGTCTTTGTATTTTCTGTCAAAACTTTGGAATAAATGAAGAAGAACCATGTTTAAAATCTTGGGCATGTTCCAATTTATAAAACTTTGTGTGTGGTTATTGTTTTTTTTTCCCCCATCTCTGTAGATTTCCACCAAGAAAAATGGATCTATGTTCACAAAGGAAGTACTAAAGAGGTAAGCCTCTGCCCATGCATTGAACAGTTAGGCTTAAGTGGTGCCTTCTCATGGGGTAAGGCAGGGGGAGAATTGAGCAACGGTGTTACTCAGAGCATGTGCCCATGACTGTCTTCTTGGGTGTGGGTGACAATGGCTAGCAGCCCACCACCTAGCCAGCTATCAGAATTTAAAGAGAGAGATACAGAGAGAAGCAAAAGTCTCTAACCATTCAGTAAGATACATATGTAGAGTTCTTTATAAAGATGATCGTGCCCTCCTCGAATGTATTCTTATAAATATATTCTTTGTCACGAGACATTGCCTTCCTTTTTTGCCAAGATCATCTCAAACTTCAACTCAATTCAGCTTTAACCCTAGAAGGTCTAATCTCTAAAGACAGCAGAAGGTTTCAGTTGTCTGTTCAGGGTGAGGACCTGAGGTAGATTTAGGAGGGGACAAGAGAGTATAATGACTACATTTGTACAGCACTTTGTAAAACTCTTCTGTTGCCCTTTATTTCCTCTCGGCACAGGCGTTTGCTCGGGTAACTATGACACAAGGCAGTATGATAGGGTGATAGAATTCCTATCACTGTCACGGACCTTAGGGAGCAGCTAGTTCCCTCTGTGACTGGAAGCTCAGGGAGGGTCAGTGTTACACCCAAGATCCCCCAGACACTCGGAGCAGAGCTCACACTGTGTGGCCTCTCTGCTCCCTGTCCCCTGTGCATCCATAGAGAAGAGGTCGGAACATCCTGCTTCTTCATGAAGTCTCATGAGTATTATGATCACAATGAGAAAAAGTCTAGAGATGCAATGTGATGTGGAGGCATAGAGTCAGAGCAGGTGGATCTAATTCCCCTCCCAGGAGCCTTCTTTAGACCCAACACCCAACCTTTCCTTGGTTGTCATCATTTTTCCAGACGAATGTGTGCAGAGAGCAAGGCCCCAGATGGTACAAGTCATGAAAAGAGTGTGTCACTGGCTAAAGCAGCTGCCAACTGCATTACCATTGTTGCAGCTCACGGGGGTTCCCAGAAAGAACGTACCATGGTGGGAACAGATGGCCATAGGTTGACTGAGACAGGCATTAAGCTTGTTCAGTACAGTCCAGTTAGAACAGTTAAGCACTCAGCTGCTAACCAAAAAAAAGGCTGATGGTTCATACCCACCCAGGAGCACCAAGAGAAAGACCTAGCAATCTTGCTTCTGTAAAGATTACAGCCAAGAAAACTCAATGGGGCAGTTCTACTCTGTCCCATGGAGTCCCTAAGAGTCAAAAATTAACCCATTAACAGTGACCCTCTGTTTTCACATCCAGCGCCATGGATATTGCACTTTGGGGGAAGCTTTCAACAGACTGGATTTCTCGACTGCTATCCTAGATTCCAGAAGATTTAACTATGTAGTGCGGGTAAGTCTCAAGGACCCAAAGACTTATCCAAATTCTCAAGGTGAATTGTCTCTTTGTGTTGTCCTGAAGTAGTTTCCCCCAAAACAACCTGTTTAGGACCCTGAAAATTTTGAGGAAAGGAAAACTATGGACTCCTTGGTGCACACATACTTTAATTCTTGTGTGGATCCTGTAGGATGTCTCTGAGATTGGCTTCAATAGGCAGAGGCGGCCATAATGCCTCTTCGGTCTTCTTAGGTGAAAATTTCACTCTCCGCCCCTTTTGGTAAGGGGCCCTGATGGCACAGTGTTTAACTCTGGTCTGCTAACTGAAAGCTTGGTGGTTCAAACCCAGTAAAAACACTGAGGAAAAAGATGTGTTGATTTGCTTCTGTAAAAATTATAGCCTTGGTGGGAAATTGCAGTCAATGTCATGAGACAAAGTGTATGTGAGTTGCCATATGGAAAGTGAATTTGCTCTGTAAACTTTCACCCAAATCACAATAAAAATTAAAAAAAAAAAAAAAAAAAAAAAAGATTATAGCCTTGGAAACTCCACAGGGTGTTTCTACCATGTGCTATAAGGTCGCTATGAGTCGGAATCAACAGCAACGGGCTTTTTTGTTTCGTTTCGTTTTCCGGGCCCTTTTGGAGCCGGCCCATGGATGAATTGGAACATGTTACAGGCAACACAGGCTGTGGCAGCAACTTTAGCAAGAGAGAAGCCAGCAGTCAGCACGCCATAAAGCACGCTGGCTTGTTTCAGAAACCTCTGCACCTTGGATTGTTCTCACTGCCCTCCCTCTGTCCTGCTTCAGCTGACTCAGGGTCGACCCCAAAGCATTCTTGGAGTGGGCCACAAAACTGTATGAGTTCAAAGCATCCCTTCCCTCCCCCTTCCCTCCCCAGCCCCTTCCACCACAACCCTGTATCATAACCACACCCAGTCCTGTGTGTACCTAAAACTTGAGCTACCTCTGGGGTCAGCTGCTTTCCATTTTAAACCTTATTTTGAAAAAAAAATTTAAATGAGCTTTAGCAAAATATGAAGGATGAAGGTAGTAAAGCCAATCATTGCAAGCATAACTTTCAAGTTGGCGATTTTTTTTAACTGGTGTATTATTGTTTTTTCCCCCTAAGCTGCTTTGTGCATTTTTGTCAGTGGGTCAGCCTGGGAGGTAGCAGCTGTTTGGGTCTTGGGTTCTGAAGTCAGAGAGAAATTCTCCCCCTGTCGGTGTTGGTTGGGTGGGTTTTGATTTGCGTTTTCCTAGGTGCTTGTGCTTCTAAGCACTGTGTCACCAAGTCAGATGATTCTGGGAGCTGAGCCAGGGCAGTGACATTCAAACCCCCTTGTGGCCTGGATCTCTCACCTGTCATCTGGGCAGATGCAGCCTGCCCATCTGAACTGACCTGGTAAACACCCCGGCCTTGTCAGTTAGAAGCTTAAGCTGAGCCCGTGACCACCTGAGCAGATCTGTTTGCTCTCCAGCTGAGCCCTTGGTCCAGTGAAAGGGATGAACCTAAGAGACCTTCTTGGGCGACATGCTTGTGTTATTCAGTATGACTGTCACCAAGGACCCCTGGTGACACAACGGTGAAGCACTTGGCTACTAACTGACAGGCTAGTGGTTCGGACCCACCCGTGGCTCTGTGGGAGAAAGACATGGCAATCTGTTTCTGTAAATATTAAAACTTAGGGGGCAGTTCCACTCTGTCACATGGGATCACTATGAGTCAGGATCACTCCATGGAAGTGAGCAACAACTCCCACTTCAGGAAGGTCACCAACACTCACAGCTCAGTCCAGGCTGGTTTGCAGCAGCCCCAGATTTGGAAACCCAGTCTCTGGCTAAGAATAGGAAGAGCTCCACCTTCTAAGTGTTACAAGAACATGCCTGGATCTGGTGTTTTTCTTAGAAACTTTTCATCAAAATGGCCTGTTTAGATGGTTCTCCTTTCTACCTATTTTTCCTTTCACAAGAAATAAAATAATGGAAAGGAACTAGGATCATAATAACTAAAGTTGATTTCACGCATTTCATGTGCATTATCTCATCTTATCCTTTCAATAATCCTATGACGTGTAGCTACTTTTATTATCCCTATTTAAAGAAATGGAAGCTCAGCAAGGTAAACTGATTTGTCCAAGGTCACAAAGCTACCCAAGTGAAGAAGTCAGCATTGGAATTTAGGAGCGCCTCAGAGTCACACTTTTATCTGCTACAAGAAGCTGTATGTAAGCAAAAAACTTCAAGTAATATGGCCTGAGGTCAGCTGCCAGCTCTGCTACTTCCAAGCAGTTTCAGCCTCTCTAAAAGGCAGTTTCCCGTTCTGTAAGGACTCAGAACAAGCTCTGCTTTGTACGTTGCCGTGAAATCAGCAAGTCCTCTGCAGACTAGAATCTTCAAAGCAAAGGTAGCTACTAATGTTTATTATTATTCATTTCTCATAATTATTTCAGGAGAAAGATATGACTGTCTGCTCCCATAAAGATTACAACCTTGGAATCTCTATGGGGCATTTTTACTCTGTCCTATTGGGTCACTATGAGTTGGAATCAACTCGATGGCACATAACAACATAATTATTGCTGATTCCTCCAAAAATGATGTGCCTTTTCAATTTAATTGATAAAATAGATGCTTTATTACTTAACAAAATAATGATTAACTAAGGAGTCTTGCACTTGATTGAGGCTCCACCCAGAGAACTTGTGCCTGATAGTATCGAATTGTAAAGTACATCACAGGCATGTGCCCTTAAATAATCTTAAAATTAAAGAAACTGCCAAATGCTTTCAAAGTTTTTGGGTCCAGCAATAGTAGAAGAATATTCCTGTTATGGAAAGAACCACCTTTTTCTCTCTTACTGTTACAGTCCTCTGTCATTGGAGAAATAATAGGTTATTTTTACAAACAGCTTAAAACATTTTAATGATAGGCACTGTGTTTTGAGGTTTTTCTTCTAAGGAACTCAATACACTTCTCGTATATTCTTATCCTTAAACCAACTCTGCAAAGTAGCTTGCCAATATGTTATCCTCATTTTACTACTTTGACCTAATGGTATTTTAATACTACAATGATTCTTCAGTTCCAGTAAGGAACCATTTTAAAAAACAAAAAAAAAAAATTTTTTGTTTCATCTTTTTAAAGCCGAGGTACATTTTTTTAAAATGTATTGTGTTCACACTGACTGTCACCTTCAAAAAACACATGTGCAGAGATAAGGGCAACACTGCTATGTTAAAATAATATCATCTTTATTAGCTAGCGTGAACATTTTCTTGAATTTGAGGCATCAGAAAATTATTTTAATATAAATTGGGGACTCATTTATATTAAAATAAGTTTCATATCACACATGTACTATAACAGGCTTCAGGCCACATTCATTGTCCCAGCCCCCTCTCCTGTTGTTGTTGTTGTTGTTATGTGCTGTCGAATCAACCCCAACTCATAGCGACCCCTCCTTGGGTTGCCAAGGCAGTATCACTATGGAAGTAGATTGCCCAACTTTCCTTCCAAGGAGTGGCTGGTGGGCTTGAACCACCGGCCTTCTGGTTAGCAGTCAAGTGCCTTAAGCACTGTGCTACCAGAGCTCCTGCCCCCTCTCCTACACGCCCACAATGGCTTAAATACAGTTCAAACTGGATTTTAAAGATGACTTAACAACTTTAAAAACAGCAGCTTACTCATTGGTGGAAGGCCATAAAAAAAAAGTGGTTTACCTTATGTCTCAAGACCAACTAATTTTGGAAATTCCCCTTAGGGGCTAGGCCGTTCGTGGGGTTGGATCTTGGCAATACAAGGAGGCAAGTGGTGACTAATGCAGGGCACGGAGAGGCCAGAGAAGAAAGGGGGTCTCTAGGGTAAAGTGGGGGAGGGTTTCAGAGACCACACACCGACCAGCAACCAGAGTCTCTCTGCCAGGAGCTGCTGGAGCCCAGGGACTCTGCATGTTGCAGTCACCTGCAAAGGTTTTGAATAAGAAAGCCAGGGCCCCCCCTCTGGAACTTCTGGTCTCCTTAATTCAGAGTGGCCCCAGACACTGGGGCTTTTTAAACATTTCGAGTAACATGTTTTGCCTAGTGGGTTTTTAAATAAGACATGGTGAGGCATTAAATTTTAGATATGATTTCTGAGGAGTGTAGCATGAGGTACCCAGAATTCAGCGATGCAAAAGGGATAGCCCCTTCTCCCCCACCCCAAGATTTAAAGTTGAATTGAGTGATTCCAACTTAAAGTTCAAAACTCACTAGCTGTGGGACTATCTGCAAATAACTCTGTCTCTGTGATCTCTGAAACTAGAATAATCATCCCTAGATTGAAGCATTTCTGTAAGAATGAACAAAGGTGATAGTGGGACAGGGCTTAATCTTGGCTCTCTGACCCCTGGTCCTGTGCTCTCTCCCCACCACGACATTGCCTGGATGAACTATATGCAGAGTGAAGCCTGCCCTCTTACATCATCACAGAAATGCTTGTGTGTCCACACACAAATGCGTGCACACACATACGCACACGCACACGCACACACACACATACCCCTCCTAGCAGGAGCAGGCCTTAATGCTTGGATGACCTTTGATCTTGTTACTCCCAGCTCCCTCTGAGGTGAGGATGAGACCAGCTGTGTGGTAGCCATGTCCTCAGGTGCCCAGATGATTTGCTGTCAGCTGCTAACCTCAGTGTTGGCTGTTTGAAACCACCCAGCAGTACCTCAGAAGAAAGGCCTGGCAATCTGCTTCCAGAAAGATTACAGCAAAACAAGAAACACCCTATAGAGCAGCGCTACTGTGTACTGCATAGAGGCACCTGGAGGTGGGGCCAACTTGACAGCATCTCATACCAACAGCAATATATGGTAGCCGTGGTTGCCGCCATCAGGTCAAGAAAGGTCATAGACAACCCTGACAGCCTGCTTCCTGACTGGAGTAGTCTAACCCACATGTGCTAGTGGACCAGGAAGGAGAAGCAAAAACTCCCAGCCTCACTCTCTCTGTCCCTCGGCAGCAAAGA